TATAAGAAAAAAGTCCCTTGAAGGAGAATTTTTTTTTAGTGCCTGAAATAATCTATAGCAATAGATGTACTTTTTAATTGTTTTAGGAAAAAAAAACTCTTAGAGTATGAATCACTCAAATTCATTATGTCAGAAAATGTTTCTTCGGCGACTGGGGGAAATTTCATAATGAACAGAATATAGTATAGGTGAGATTTCTTTCTGTCTAACACACAGCCCCTCACTGCCCATGGAAGGTAGGAACCATCACTGGAATCGGCTACCAGCACAGCAGTGGTACATGGCCAGTGAGCCCATCTGAACTCTTATCCTGAAGCATCCAACAGACACGGAAGGCAAGATGCACTGGCCTCACTCTGTTTTGCCCAGTACAAACTCCTTTCCACTTCCTAACCTATTTGAAACCCATCTCTGTTTTATTTTTTTAACTTGATACTTAGGGAATCAAAATCAGCTTCCAAAGAGTAATGAAAATGACAGCATATGTCACATCCAGGCATTTTCTGAGATTGCTTCATCTGTCTCAGCTATGGCTCTTCTCGGCAACCAACAGTTACTAAACCCCCACACCAGAGAATTCCTGCTAAGTAACGGCCATACGCTGCATTGGAACAGAACAAATCCAAAATCTCTGCAGTGGCCTTCAAGACCATCATGGTGGGGACACCCCCAACCTGCAGGGTACCACCTGCCACTCTTCCTTTTCATTCCACTCTAACCTGGCTCCCTGGCTGAGCCTCCTTCCTCCAAATGGCCACAGTGTGGCGTCCCTCTCAGGCTCAGGAGTTAGAGTCACATTCTCAATGGCCTACCCTGACTACCTTATTGAAAAATTATAAAACTCTCTACCCTGGCATTCCCAAACCTCTTTATTTGCTCTACTTTTAAAAATTGCATTTAGCATCTCCTGAAGTCCAAGATAGTTTGCTTCTTTATTATGTTTATTATTTATTGCCTATCTCCTTCCTCTGGCCCCCAGAATAAGCTTATTGGAGCATTTTGTCTATTGTTCCTATTGTTTTGTTCAGCAATATACCTAGAGTAGTGTCTTGTCTTTATTAGGTACCCAATAAATATCTAAATGAATTATCTTTTTTCAATTTCTGTCATACATAACTGATAAGAACTGGTTATATTTATAATCAAATCTCATTTGTTAAATATAAAGATCCAAAATACAGCCATCTTATTTTTAAGGTTAAATGGCTACAGACTGAAGAAGCTTATAGGTCAGACTTGGTTTTTTCGTGTCTTGGTTCCACTCTTATGAAACTTGGTGCCCCAAATTCCCATGGCAGCTGGTTCCTTGTTAAGAGTGCAAGGATGTATTTAGAGCACAAAACCTCTGTGTGAGGATCACTAAACTCTGCTGTGTACTTTCTTCATTCACCTCTGTTCGCTTCAGCTCTGGGTCTTAAACTAAGTTCAGTTGTAAATGTTGTTGCTTTTGAGCCCCTTGCACAGAATGTAGGCCTCAACGAGACCTAACTTGAATGACTCCTTGCACTAGAAAGTGGTTTAGGGTAAGGGTGAGCTGCCTTTCAACAAGGCTTGCAAATCAGAGAATTATGCTTTCTCAAGCCACAGCACAGGACAATCCCTGCATGAGAGATGATTCATTGATTGTATTTTAGGTATATGTTTTGTCCAGTCCAAAAATTCACTCATTCAGTTTCTCTGTACAAGTGCACCCAGGGGTATACATCTCTTTTCCAGTTATCTTAGTAGCTTTTCTACAATGAAAAATCAACTCTGATGCTGTGAGTTCATTAATATCTTTGTTTTCCCCAAAGGAGAATTGTCTTAGAGGGTTTTTTTCCCTTTGTTCATTCGTGTGACATTCTGAAGAAGTCCTTAAGCCAGAGCTCATAACCTAGGTGTTGGAACTGCTAACAATTAAAACAAACAACATATTGAATAAAAATGGTTTAATCATCATGAAGTCTGGATTGGGAAGGTGTGTGGTGGTGGGGCGGGGGTGGGGGGGGAGTCCTTATCATTTGTGATTCTAATTCAATACATTTAATTCTAGGAAAAGGCTGAGAAATTTACCTTACAATCAGTTTAATTCCAAGATCTGAAACCATACCTAGAAACACAAGTTCACGTTCTGAAAAGCTCATTCCCTGAGACCTGCTCTGATAGATAGCCCTGGTATATTATTTAACTGTTTTCTTTGGAAAGACCCAAGATTATTTTCCAGGATGTTCGATCTGTGAGCCTTTACCTGTATTGTTTCTAGATCCCAATGCTGATAAGGCCCTGAGAATGGGTTAATCAGTTTAGGGGACTTGGTCTGTGCCATAGACCCACCTCGACCAGGGTCTGGGGAGGTAGGTAAGCTGGGAACCAGACCCAGCTCTGCTCCTTAATAACTGTGTGGCCTTGGAATTTATCTAAGCCTCCTTGTCCTCACTGCTAAATTAGAAATAACAAGGACACCAAGGTAAAGGTAAAGGTGCTCAGTAAACATTAGCTCAATATCATCCACATCTTTTAATTCTCATAACATTCCTACAACTATTCCACAACAAATTCCTACAATTCCGCAACAAATCTACATCCCTGCCTTACGGAATTGAGATGCAGTACAGCCTGCTCAAAAGCATCCAGAGAATAAGGGGTTAAGCTGATTTAAATATACAAAAGCTCCTGCTCCTCCTTCCATGACAACTCCTTTAAAGCTATTTGATTTTAACCCAAGAATTTCTTTTTATCTGTAGGTTGAGAACATGGACCTTAATAACTTTCATTTCTTTGTGCTACTTACCAAGGGTCTGGGACCAAAAGCACCAAGAATGTCAGCACCTATCTTGACCCTCAGTTATTCTGCAGCATTAGTTTTTGGCTATGAGAGAACATTCTCCACCCCTGCCCCAAGATCTGATCACACAGCTCTATACTAATGTTTGTACAAAGCTGTGCTACTTCCTGGGAGCCTTTGTAATATGTATTCAACCCTGGGGTCACTAATAGCAGAGAGACCAAGAGTTAAGTAGGAGTTAAGTGAAACATTTATAGGAGCTGGTGAAGGAACCATTACAAAGAGGGTCACATCCCTTGGGGCATATACAATTCAGCTTTATTTCAGAGACCAGTTCATCTTTCCGTATTTTAAAAGATACTATGCATTTTATAGTGTTTTAATGGCCCCTAGAAAGGGAATTCCTAAACATGTGTGAATGCTTCCTGTGTGCCTAGCACTATGTTTGGGACCAGAGAGAGTCCACTCATGACCATTACTGTGAGTTAATAATCGAGTGGAGACACCTAAATAAAACAGGACAAAATAAGAACTGCAAAAAATATGCTAGCAATGCGTACCTTGGTTTTTCTGAGGCTAATAAATGCCAGGCAAGCAGAAAAACCTTCAACATGAGTTTGTTCTTTTGAACAAAAGGAATGTGTTGTGGTCAAACCAGAGAAGGGAACAACTGGTTTTGACAGGGAACATTGGAGAAGGCCTCAATGGAAGAAAAGGTCCTGACCTTAAAGAATAAGTAAAATTGTAATTGAGGGAGAAGGAGAAGGCCTCGAAGTCTACAGAGGCAGCCTGAGCAGAAGGCAGGGAAGTGTGTGAGTGGAGCGAACATTCAGATGACCAGGAGCCTCCAAGGTTAAGTGTGAGCTTCATGCAGAACAGCGGTGGAAGGTGAAGACGTGAGGGTAAATTGGAGCCCATCGTGAAGGCCTAACTGACATAGAATGGAGCATGCGTTCTAATTTTTGCATGATTGGGAGGTTTTTGAAGGGCAGAGTAATATATTCACTTCACTATTTTGAAAAATAATTCTGGAGGTAGAGCAGAGGATGAATTTAGGAGATAAAACTGGCAATAGGACCATCAGCCAGGAAGTGCATATACAAGGCCAGTGGAGCTCTACCATCAGCCAGACATGAGGCCCTCACCAAGACAGTTGCCCAGGAAATAAAAGAGCATTCTGAGGGGCCAGCAACCACTCACCAGGAAAGTAATTTGCTAATGTCCGTGGGGAGCGGGGAGACATAAAATATGGGATGAAAGAATTGGTGATTCTAGCCAGGGTATCTTGAGAGAAGATGATGGGTACCGCGTTCCCTGACAAAACTGGAGTTTCTGGATAATCTCATGTATTAGTTTTATGACCATGCTCAGCTGCATTGCAATTATGTCATCTTCCAAATCAGAAAGCATAATTTTCTATCTTCAAGGCACACATCTATTTGATAAAAGCTATTTGATAAAAGCATTCAAAAGAGAGGTTACAATGTGCTCAAATGAAGGCCACACCAATGCCCTCTACAGCTGGAACTTACAGGGAAGGCAAAACTTTATCTCTACCCACATAGGCTTTCAGCTGGGACTCTAACAAAAAGACAGGTTAATAAGAGAAAAACAAAGTCTATTAACAAGTGTATACATGGGAGACTTCCTGTATACATGGGAGACACCCAGGAAAAATAAGTAAGTCAAAGAGGTGGCTTTAGAATTCTGAATTAGGGGAGGGGATGTAGGCCTCTGAAGGGAGAGTGTCTGATCTTTAGGAAAGGTAAAAGAGCTCTTACAAGAATAGACGGAAAGAATAGTTTGTGACAAAGTTGTCAGGGCGTGGGATCCACCTCTGGTTTCCTCTCCATGGTATGAGTCAATCCTTCCTGATTGATAACACCCCTGGGAAGGGGACTGATGACAATTCTTTTGGAGGCTTTATCTTTAGACAGATGAGGGTTGTTCAGAGAAAGCATCTCCCTGCATTTACCGTTTTCAAATGCTTGCAGTTCACAGTGATCAATATACCAAAGTAGCATATTTTGGGGTGCCACATTCTGCCGTTCTTCAAGCCAGAGCCAGTGGCATAGGAATGACTGTGTCACACACCCAGGGGAAACCATTAGAAGAGCAATTCCTTGAGAGCTGCTTTAAGTGAGGTTGTTCTGAGGCTTGACCTGCTTCTTCTTGAAAATACTTTTCACTTCTCTCATTTTTCTCTTCTTTTTCCTCCTCATGCTACGCTTTTTAGAGGAAAAGTCCGGTAAGGAATAAGTCCTTTCCACATTTTGGCCAAACGTTATTTATTCTGTTCACTTTCATCATCTGCATATCCAATGATTGACTGTGTTTAACACCTAAACAAGATTTTGAATTTTAAAAACAAACCTTTGTGAACGAGGACAAGGCTTAATTATGCTCCGTGCAGAATAAAGGAAGTTGGTTGCTAAGTGATTTTACAAGCCTGTTATTAAGGGCCACAGGGTAATTTTGTAAAGATCTATGTCTGCCTCAAAAACAGGCATGTGATCAAATATTTTAGGTATTAAGTGTTATTTATTGCAGCTTCTGCTTGGATTAGTCAGGCTACACATACATACCATAAGCTAGGCAAACACTTTGTTAAGTTAATTTCTTGTTTAATGCACAACATGATAGCATCTGTGAATGAAGGCTTCTGAAGCTGGCCTAGGAAAGGGTCTTTTTTATTTTATTTTTCATCTCATCAGAAAAATGTCCCCTTCTGGAGTTGTCAGAAACGAAAAAAGAGGATCTTTATAAAGTGCAAAACAACTCTTCCACAGTCCGTTTTAGTATCAGTGGGTGATTTTTAGTGGCAGCAAAAATCTGCTATGATGTACCTACATCATTGTTTATTTTAGGACAACAATGAAACAGAGCCACTAAAGAAAAAAAAAATTCACCGTTCTCGTCTCTGTTGCCTGGTGTATTGGGAACACGTTCTCAGGATGCTGATACGTGGCTGACTAGAAAATATGGAAATGCTGTTTCCATGTTAATGAGCACCGAGAAGGGGCTGGTGGTTGGTTGTACTTACCTCACCTAAGTGGACACTGCAATAAGTGCTGTAACATGTCATCCTGTCCTTTGCCCCCATCCTGGCAGTCTCCGTACCACCTGCAGGGTACCACACTTGTGGGAAGTCTGGGTGATAGGAGGGAGAAGTGGAAGATACAGAAGAACAAAAAAGGAGATCAAAATATTACAATTTATCAAAATACGAACCCAATGTCTTCTCGTTTCTAAAAATAAAATAAGCATTTGTTATTATCACTATGGCTCATACTAAGATGAATGGCCCACCTCTGAGTAATTGAGAGTCAAGTATGTATCACATCCTTTGTGGCATACAATTGTGTTGGTATGCTTTAGTAGCCTTTCTTTACATTTTGCTGGTTGTGCTTATTCTTGACCTTGAGTCTTTCTCTGAATTGTCCAAATTTGGCCACTTCAAATGTTACTGAATCATGTGGCCTGAAGTTGACCTGGGGTGCCTTAAAAGTGCCCTGTTCCTCATTGGGTTCCATCCTATTGTCCTCATAGCCATTAACCCTCATAGCCAAGTAACCCTTTTCATTGTGAGCTGTTTGTTTCTAAGGGTGAATCCCCCTCCCATTTCCTTGCCTCATTTTCCTTTGGAAATGCCCATCTTATGGATTGCTCAATCTGGTCCAGTCTTAATGACATCCAGCAGGCTGTTTGTTTCTCTTCCCAAATGGAGATTCAGAAGATCATCTCAACCAAGTCCTATTGGATATGATAGGTATTCAGTGGAACAAATTTAAATATACACAAACACCTACAAGGGGTGGGGGTGGGGGAGAAGTGTTTGCCCGAATAGCTGGCCTTCACCATAAGCATTTAAAAGCAAGTAAGAATATTGGCTGGAATCAAAATAATAAGCATAATGATCACATATTCTAATTCTTTCCTAGAAAACGCTCTAACATGAATCACTGAATTTGCTGTGACTAGCCTGTATAAAAATATTTGTTTGGTGCTTTGTAGCTTTTCACGCATTTTCCTCTGGTTCCACAGAGCACTGAATTTAGCAAATGAGGACGTTGTAAAGCTTCAAAAACTGAGGCTGATTTAGTGATTTTGATGAGCAAGACATATTGTGTTTGGTTACTTCTTTTTATAAATATCTTAAAACACTCGCATTGGCTACGACTAAGGTATCCTAGTAGGCTGAATTTAAATTAATCCTTTTGTGCAAAAAATAACAAAGCAAAGCTAGTGTGGAATAAGGACACGGTGGAAACTGTGAGGACACAGGCTGAAACATTATTTTAGGAACGCATATTCATGTTGCAAACTATATGCATTTTAGAAATACAACATGTTCTAACCAAAGTCTTCATTCTAGTGACCAAATCACAAATTATTAGTGTATGCCCACTTTGAAAATAGCCTCAAGTACAAAGTCAGAACTATCTCTTTTCAGAAAAGTAGAGGGAATAATAAAATGTTTCCAAAACCTTCTCCAGAATGTGCCAGAAGATCAACAGAAATCTAGGAATTGAGTAATTAATATTTAAATAGGAACAAAGGAAAACTGTTCAGAAAATGAATAGACCAATTGCAAAGTCCCTGTTTGAGTTATCAGGTGAAGTAATAAGAACAGTAGATAAAATCTGAGAGCTTATTATTTGAGACCCCGAAGCCTGCAATCAGTGACAAATTGGCCACCTGCAGGTTCTGAACAACGGAATAAGTGTTTTGTTTGCTTGTGTAGTTAAAAACAACTTTAGCTCACATTTAAAAGCCAGGATGTTTGAAATTAAAAAAAAAAAAAAATCCGGATGTGCCGCTTCTCTGAAGATCTGGCAGCAGTAGGCCCACATTTTGCAGGGCAGGCGTGGGTGCACCCGATTGGTGGCGAGTTCACCAAAGCTTTGTGAAAGACACGTGCCCTTACAGACAGCACCCCGCTCCTTGCCCTGCACCCATCTGAGTTTGCTGCTCAACGCATAGTGTTCAGCTTATAGAATCTATCGAGACCAGACACGAATGAGTTTCCTTCCACCTTTGAAGCTAATTCCATGTATTGGTAGAGCAAAGGTAGAAGGCTAAAGGCTTCAACGTTCTTGGGAAATGAGGAAGAGTAAAATAAAACTTTTAACAGAGGCCCTTCTCTCCTGGCTCATACACATTTTGCTGTCAGAATTGTTGTTCAGCAGAACCAGTATACAGCTGCGTTATGCACCTTAATGGTGACAATGAACATATATGAAGCCCTTCAATCTGACGTGTAGAATATTTTTCTTTTGAAGGTTTCAAATAGCTCTTAAGTATGGACTGTGAGGCTTTCTGGGTCTGACCTCTCCACAGCTTCTAGCTGGGTCTTCTCGATTCTGGATGATAAGCTTGTGACTGCATGAACTTGAACAGCTTTTCCCAGATGAAGGCATTTTGCAAGCAGACTTTCTTAAATGCTATCTTATGATGTTGTCTTTCGCTAGAAAAAAAAATACGAGCAGGAACTGTTGATTAAAAATACAGGTTTTTCACTCTTTGGAAATTAAGATATGACTTAATTTGGGGAGATTAATGTAATTGAAATTATTTTGAAAAGTGTTCTCTATAATCTTAAATGAATAAAGTTTCTTTGTATGTAAGGCTCTGCCTCTGTATGGGTACAATCTGCATTTTATTTTTACATTTCTTTTCATAATTTCATCTTAGGGAAATTTGTGTCACTTTTAATCTCCTCTTGCTGTAGTTTATGCTACCTTTAAAAGTGAATTGTTTGCCATGAAATTGAAGCTAAAATCATATATTCCCACATTTTTTCTTAGAGAAGAATTTTAGTCTGGTCATTAAAAGAATTATAAAATCTAAATTTTCATTAGTGAATTCCTCTCAAAACACAGTATGAATTAGTCAATAAAAGAATTTAAGCCTAGAAATACATATTCATAAGGGGACTTTTTCATTTTATGTAAATTATGTACACGCATATAGACAAATTTATCAGAAAGGTGAGAAAAATATGGAGCAGAACCTGGAACGTAAGGCATATGAGAAAGTCTCAAATATTATAAGTAAAAATGACTAGAGTAACCATGTTCAAAGTGATGAGTTTTGTCACAAAACATTCAAGACAGGAAGTAAGCATTCATGGTCCTCTGCTTTAGGAGCCCTCCGACGATGTAAAGTAAGAATGAGACCAGAGACCTAAACTCTGTCTCCGGCTCTACCCATTTACTAGCTGTGTGTCTCAGAGCCTCACTTTCCCCTCTTTTTTAAAAAGGCAGTTGGACCAGATATCCATGGAGGCCTCCCAGGTATAAAACGCTAGAGGCTTGTTTCCTGTCCACCCTCCAGAGAGCAGAACCATCCTCTTCATCTGAGCAACCTTATGGATACTTACGTATTTGCACTTCTGGCCTGGATTTGGGGATTTGGGCAATACTAGAGGTCACAGATAACCTCTAGTAACTTCATGGGGTAGCCCATATTTTGAAACCAAAACTCTGAGAAAAACTTCTTTCCCTACTCACACCACAGTCACTATTGTTACTGTGGAAAAACCCTAAAGAGGGAGAGTAATCAGAGTTTGTTGGGGTAAATTGATAGCAGCCCTAAACCAGGTTTGAGAAGTGAAGGAGAGAAGACGTATGTCTGCTGGTTGTGTTCTTACAGACAACATCTGGTCCACCATTGTTCTACTGATGCTGGACAGTTTTCCTTACTGCCATCTGTGCTTGTCAGGGGCTCCTCGTCTTTTCCGTCACATTCCTACCCTTTGGTAGAGACTGCCCAAATCACCAGGCCAAGAACGGACACTTCAAAAAAAAAAAGTCCTCACCAACACTCATTCCATAGGATATCAAAGAGAAGAGCCAGGCAAACAAGAGGTCTTTCTAATCCTACTGTCTGATGTGGGGAGGCTCCAATTTAGTGCAAATCACATGGGAAATACATTACATCTATGGTGTTTGCTAACACCCTGTTGTGTGGGAAACACTTTTCTCTATAGTACCTAGTCTCTAAAACCTCCTCCCCAAATAATCTGGAGAGAAACTCCTTATGACAAAACATTAAAAGCTGTCAGTGAAATTGTCTTGTATGTTTCTGTCTTTTTTCTTTTGTACACTTCACTGAAATAGTACACCCCATTAACAAAGCTATGATATATCACAGATAGCTTCTCTGTAAGGTTCTCCAAAACCTCTTCATGGTTTAAATAAGCCACAGGCATGATGACTGCCTGTCTTTCTTTGGCCTGATTACTTGGAGTGTATGTTTGGTTGGCTGTTTATGAAATCTTCTGTTACCCAAGCCTGTTGACTGATCCATCATTCTCTGACTAGGTATCTGTTCTCTCTTCCTTTTTGCTGATCACAGAGGCGCAGCCCGGTAAGAACTCTCAACATTTTTACCTTAAACATGTATAGAGAAAATTGTTGCCAAGGCGAGGTGGCCAGGTTTGGCTTCCCATTAAATTTATGATGACCCAAAACGAATGAAGCAGATGAATCATATTTATTGGTTGGAAGCCACTGATCATATAAGTGTCAAGATATTTTAAGATTATCAGAGCACTTTTCCATAACAAACTAAATTAATACATAAGTATCCCAACCCTAGTGCTAAATTTGAAAAATGTGTGTGTACGTGCGTGTGTGTGTGTGTGTGTGCAGGCGTGGGTATGGATGTGTGTGTATGCAAGGCCTGGAGACTGGCCAAAAAGCACCATAGAAGTTTACAGCAAAGTGATAATAAAGAATAAGAAAGCTATGAAGAAAGTAAGGAAACAATTTTTAAGCCACATTGTTTTTAACCCTGAATTTGAAGTAAGTCCTGGTCTATAATCTATGTTGGTCAGTATACACTGATACCTAATAATACATAATCATAATTTCCATCGTGGGAGGAAGAGACATGTTTTCAGGTCAATACTCCTAGGTTATCACATAAGTCTGTATTTCATCACTGAAGACAAATCAGTATTAGTTTGCGTTGTTCAAAGTGAAAAATCAGTCATTTTTCTCAGATTGAAATATACGATGAATTTAAAGTAACAAAAAGTAGGGTCCTTGTTTTGTTTGAAATGACCCCCATCTGCCTTGAGAGAGGAAATGGAACTGAAAACAGTGCCCTCTGAAATCCCCTCTGTGAGCACATGCCAATTTGATCAATTGGTTATTATTTGGGGCCAATCCTCTGGCCCAGCTGACAAGCTGGTGGTTCTCTGTTTAAATCACATAGCCGATGATCAAAGATAACACCTCCAGGGACTGCTATTCAGGTGTGGCTGATTCCTACCCAGCAGTTAGGTGACATCTGAGATTATGACAAGTTACTCTTTTTTTTTTAAGGAAAAAGAGGGAATTAACTAATTAAAAATGAAGGCGATTTATTCACAGCCTACATGTAAGGACAATCATTAAAAAGAGGAAAATGTGGTCACTTGGGAAGGAGAAGAGTTTTTAACTCAATGGGCTTTCTCCTGAATGTGGTTTGTGTGATCGACATAGCCTTAACCTTGCTCTAGATTGCCATGCTGCAACTTCAAGACCATCAAAGAGCTGTATGCGGGATCCAGCTGACAATGGGACTTTCTTTTCTGTTGCTGCTGATCATTCGAATATCTGTTCCTTTCTAAATTGATATTATTCTTCCTAATTTCTATACAACAGAGTCTTCTTGCCCATCTCTGCCGTATCTTGCTTGCACTTAACTGGTGATGGTTCACTTATGAGGAGTATTTAATAAAAATGTTAAAGGGGCTTCTTGTTTACTGCCTCTCAACAATGAACGTCTAGTAATGAATTGATACACGGAGAACCAACGAATACAAAAGAAGCTTTGTACCTTGTTTGGTTTCATGAGTATTACATTTTTAATGGAAGAGGTAGGATAGAGAGACCAAAAGGTCCTCGATACAGCCTCAGGAGTCCCCTGTCTCTTGGGTTTCAGGTCTCACAATTCTAGGAGAATTCTCTTCCTTCAATGCCAACCTCGTGATCGACTACTAGGAAGTAGAGCCTGGGTATCTTTACTTCAGACCCATAAAAACCTGACTCTCTGAGGCTCCAAAACCTAGAACAACATTTTAATTCCATTTAAACAATTTGTTCTCTTACTGTTTTTGTCTACAGAGTCTTATTTTCCGAAAACCAATTTGTATCCAAACTCCCATAATGACTGTAGCTGATTTAAATGACCGTATTTAATTTAAATGTTTATTAATTAAAAAAAACATTCACTTAATCAGACATATTAACTTAAAATGCTCATTTGCTAAAGTAAATAAAGTTAATCTCTATTTCAAAAATCTTTACTAACAATGGAATAATTCTCTATAATGGCACATACACACAGATTGTATTATTAGGCAAGACAAGCCAGGAAATGCAGAGTGAAAGATTGAGCCATTCGTTAGAAAACATCTAGTAAAATCTTGCTCAGATTGAAACTGCTCCTGTATCATAAATGAGTTCAAAATGAGACAGAAAATTCTGAGAAATCCTTAGGAAAGAAGGTAAGAAGTTTCTTCTGGATCTGTTATAAAGGCCCTACATCTGATCCTGAGTTGTTCATGTTACCATTTGAGAGAAGAGAACGTATCTGTGACCAGCCACCAAACACATGGTCATACCCTTTGGAATACTTTCCTATACTTGCACTTTCCCAGCCCCACTCTGTCCCCCTCATTCTCCTAAGGCAGGCCCTTCCAAGCCCATGATACCACCCTTCCAGGGCTCTACTTTTCTGGTAGCACCCCAGGCTAAGAATCTTTCACAGCAGTTTTGAATCAAAACTTTTTATGTAATCAATGTTTCTGTTATAAGTTTCTGCGAGGGTATTATAAAAACTAGACCATACCTTCTCCAATAATTCTTACCAGGGCTGTTTGCATTCCTATTGTACCACAATGCCTGGAGCTAAAGGAATGACTTTCAGTTGGTGGATTGGTGAGCCCTATGGCACACAAGTGAAAGAAATTGAGGTGGGAAGGGCGGTTGAGGAGAATGAAATTCCTTGGCTCCCTGATTAAAACAGCCCATTCAGTGGCAATGCCTCCAAGTTTTCCTTCCCTATAACATTTGCCACTTATATCTTTAAAAATTACATTAGTAAACTAATGGCTTTTTACCAACAACTTATAGACCTCCCCCACCTTAATAAAAGCAGACAATACTCCCAATACATTCTATAATTTTCAAACACCAAACACATGCGAAACTTGGATTTATTTGTCTGATAGGCTTCAAGGTTGTTTTTTTAATTGAGCTATTCAATATTTGCTTAATTTACCAAGTCTACCCAGGTAAGGGGTTTTTCTGGTTCAGAAGACTTATGATTTACCCTTCCTTTCTCTCTATAAACCTTGAGTAAAATTAAAAACTGATTTATATGTGTGTGTCTACAAATTCCAACTTGAATGCAATTCTGAGAAAAATTTCATTTTTCCCCATCTGCATTTCTGAATTCAGTTTAATTGCAATGACAGAAATATACATATTGTACATAACATATATGTGGTCTTAAACCTTATAGTGTCTATTTCTAATTCTAGGGTGCAATTAAAAGGAACTTATCCAGTAAGTATATCCTAGCTACCAGAAATAGAGTAAAATTTAAAAGAAGAAATAGTTCCTTGGATCTTGGAGCATAAATATGTATACATTTCAATTATACACTCTTGGGCTTGATTTTTAAGGTGTACAAATGTTTTACTTTTGCAGCAAAGAAATCTTGTAATGATAAAGGGGTCTGGTGGGTCCTGAATAATTAATATTTAAATTCTGAAAATGAATATGGTTTGGGAAAAGCATTGCTACCTTCTTCCGATATTTGTCAACTCTTGCTGTATCATCTGACTTTAGAAATGGATTTAATTAAGTGTGTGTTTGTTGATGGGGGTGGGGAGAGGAGAGGGACGGAAGGAATCGAAGGCAGATGCAACTTACCCATTCATAATGTTATCTGATATAAAAATTTTAGTCACCCAAAGTGATATGATACAGGTTATAATATATGCAGGGCATGATTTTCCTCTGTGGCATATAGCATATTCTAGGGAATTCTAAATTCAGGGCTGCTAGTTAAAGATACAACATTTTCTTGGCATTTCAAGAAAAGAACAGGCAAAGAATGCTGGATTCCTGTACTACGTACATATGGCCTGGCTTAGTATTCTCTTACGGTAATTGGGAAGCAGGACTGCTCAAGGCGGCAGACATTTGAAGAATGGTAGGCTACTCAGCTAAACTCTGCAGTATACAGCTCTTCTGTTTGACAGCTTATCATGGTAATTCCTTGGTTAATTAGGTTTTGCAAATGCCAGATAAAATGCTACTACATATGTCTGATATGTGGCTGTTGCATTGCCTGGGTAGAGGGTTTGTTTTGCAAAAATTTCATATTGAGTTGTTTATTGGTGGGACGTAAATCTCTAAGTGTTTCCAAACATAGCTCATAAGATGTATAAGAAAGGAATAGTAAAAATATGCCTACCAAGTTTCTTTGTCCTGTACATCAGGTGAAGAAGTGGCAAGACCCAGGCGTTCCACACCAACTCCAGAACTTACGAGGTGAGCATGGAAGACATTAGTTGTGTTTTATATAAGGTATCACACATTGTTAACAATCAAGCAGATCTCCTTTAGGCTCAGCTTTCAACTTGTATTAATAAAGGGACTGCTTTTATGTGTGAGTCCATAGCATGATTCAAGGGTATTATTGTTTCTCACAAGTGCAGCCTGAGGCAGACACTTACAGAAGAACTGTATAGTCATCCAAAGTGACTATCAGAATGTGCAGACCCCTCACTAATGCAAAAGTGAAAGTCTGTATGAACAGATCTTTTGATGTTTGGAATGCTGATCTGACATATGATTATATCTCCCTATGAAGAATAGCCTGTTTAGTTGGCTTCAGTTTCATGATACATTCCACCTGTCATATACCAAAAGAATCTATTCTGCTTTTTTGTTTTTGGCAAAACGCTGTATTTTGCATTGTCTATTCTTTGAGTTAAGTATTGTACAAATGGGCATTGTTTTCCAAAAAGACTACTATTTCTATTAAAAGCTGGATTATTTTCATTTTCCCTCCTCCTGGCCCCCTACCCCGTCCCCTCTCACTCCCATTGCACACACAGAACTCATCAGGATCAGTGAGGGAAATAGAGTCTGGGAAGAAATGAAGATTTTGCAGCCTTTTGTTAATAATCATTTTAAGTAATAATTAGGAGAAAGGATAACAATGTAACATATTTCCACCCTTCCCCTTGAGTTCTCAATGTCCTTCTTTTTCTGAGATGTGCTCTATTTAAGGTATTAGGAGGTTATAACTAGTCTTTGTGAGTGTTGATTGGAGAGAGAGTATGGAAATTAGAAAATAGTAGACCTAGTTTCTTCTTTAAACACAAACTTCCTGGGTGCCTTTCGTTTAACCTACCTATGACTGACTTTCACTAATCACAAACTGCATTAGCTACAATACAGGGATGTGATGCAGACAAATATAAATGGTATTTGAGATCTGAAGAAACTAAATGCTTTGCAATAAACTGTTATCTCTTGTACTATCTCTTCTAAGTATAGAGAATCTTGATGACTTGAAAGAGTTTCTCAACTTATTTCTAATGGACCATTATGCTGGTCCCTCAATGAGAACTAGGGATCTTATCTCCTACCAATCCTCTCGTCCATAGTACATCTGACATTCTTACACATACTTTCTGGCCCCATGGGAGCTTGCGTACATGCATATGTATGTACCCAAATACGCACACATATATCTGCCTTGCCATGAAAAATATTTGAAAGCTTGTATATATTTTTAGCATTAATATCCCCTTTCTCTATGTTTTGTTTTAATGGGTGTAATTTAGCAAAAAGCCTCCAGATGACACTACGGCCCTTGCTCCCCTCTTTGGTCCTCCATTAGAATCAGCTTTTGATGAACAGAAGACAGAAGGTAGGCAAAACGTGTATCTTTATAGATTTTTCTTTTCATTGAAGTATAAGTTACCTAGAGGAAAGGCATGTGTCTTGAGCCATGTACCATCAGATCCTCATGTGAAAGAGAATTTCTGATCCAGGTGTGCTATGGGGATAAGAGTTTCATTTGCAAACCTCTAGTATTTTAGGATTTGAAACCTTGCTTCCAGAAATATCAAATAGTTAACAAGTTCACTCCTCAAAAGTGGTCAGTAAGAATTACTGCAAATCTATACAAATCACTGGGAATAAGTCAGGGAATAAGTGCCCTGGGGTCCAAACAGTTATCGTTGTGGACCAAGACCTTAAATTCCCTGTCACAGTCACTGTCACTGTGATCTAGCCTCTCTGACCACATTTACTCTCTTCTCCACCTTGTCACTGGAGGTGTCAGTTGGACTGCTCACCAGACTTGTTTGCAGGCTCAAGACCCAGGAATGACCTTGATTCATTGAGCAACTTACAAGCAAAATGTTATGGAAAAAATTATCAACTCAGCCATTTTTATTGGGTTTACCCATTAAACATTTATTCCTAGAATTAGATATTTAACTTTTTAAAATTAACCATCTTTTTTGGATGGCTGTAAATAATGTATACCTTGCTGACGTAAATGAAACTCTTTATTAAAGGGATCTAATCTATTCCTGAAATGTATTTACATACAATGCATGCATCTCCAGTGTCTGTGTTTGGTAATATGGGATGTTTTTATTAAAAAACATCATTTGATTTAAAAGCACTGTTGTAGATACCATATGGTTTCACTCTTATGTGGATCCTGAGAAACTTAACAGGAACCCATGGGGGAGGGGAAGGAAAAAAAAAAAAAAAAGAGGTTAGAGTGGGAGAGAGCCAAAGCATAAGAGACTGTTGAGAACTGAGAACAAACTAAGGGTTGAAGGGGGGTGGGAGGGAGGAGAGGGTGGGTGATGGGTACTGAGGAGGGCACCTTTTGGGATGAGCACTGGGTGTTGTATGGAAACCAATTTGACAATAAATTTCATATATAAATAAAAAAAATACAATTGGTACAAGAAAGAAAAAAAAATAAATAAAAGCACTGTTGTATATGTATAATAAAATGTTATTTTTTATACCGTTGGGCAAAGAAATAAAATTTAACTGTTGAGGACAACAGGACTTGAAAGCATAATGAGTAAACTAAACTATAGTAACAAAGAGACTCCAAATTGCAGGGAGCTAAACAACATAGAATTTTATTTCTGTCTTATGTTAACAATCTCAAAGTAAACAATACAGGGATGGTAGGGTGGTTCTGCTGTTCTCAGTACATGGTCTTCATGTCTGGGTCCACGGGAGCTGCTCCAGCTCTCATCATCCCCCAGTGAGAGTAAAGTGGAGAGGGGGCGGGGGATAGGGAGGACCAGTGGAATTCGCTGCCAATTCTCGTGAAAGCAAAATCTGGAAGAGACAGGCATCACTTTAACTAGAGCCAATCAGAAAGAATTTAGTGCCATACGGCCAGCTAGAACTTCTTAACTATAGAAGAAACGGAGAATAGATACTGGAAGACCGTCAGCAGTCAACCACATCAAAATATTTTTCAATGATACAGTTAGGAAAATGTATAAGGAACATCCCTAAATACGCCTTTAGGGATTTAAATGTCTACAACTTAAAATCCCTAAATAAAGGTGGCCTTGCGATGGGTTATCAGTTGTCTTATTAACTCAGCTATGATCACTTTTCCTTTTAATGACATAACTGTATAGTGACTAAAGGTGGGATTTGATTTGTTGCATCTGAATCTACCTATTAAAGGAATCCCCTAACTGTATGGAAACCTGATTTACAAAATAGAAAGCAGTTCTTTTTTTAAAAAAGTTTATTTATTTTGAGAGAGAGAGAGTGTGGGGAAGGAGTAGAGAGAGAGGGAAAGAGAAAATCCCAAGCAGACTCTGTGCTGTCAGTGCAGAGCCCAGCATGGAGCTTGATCTCATAAACCGTGAGATCATGACCCGAGCTGAAATCAAGAGTCTGATGCTGAACTGACTGAGCCTCCCAGGCGCCCCTAGAAAACAGTTCTTTGAAAATTGAGGTGGTGTCCCCCATCACATCCATGGGGAGAAAATGCTACTCCACATCTTTGGGGAATCTTTGCTTTCATATTAAAGCAAAACATAACCAAGACCATCTTTGTGTTTGTGGTGGAGAGGAGAGACACACCTGACCTTGTCCATGAGCCTGGCTTGCTTTTTCTTGAGGTGGTTTCATCCCCCAAAGTTCTATAAAATTCCAGAATTTGCCCACGCACACTTGCTCTTCCAATATTTGCACTTAACCTTTCATATCTACGCACTCTCACTGCATTTCCTTGATTCTTCCGTCACTAACTTATAAGGCCTGGGGTTGAAATTTGTATTTTGGAGTCATGTATGCATGCCCAGGATCAGATCTCAGCCCCTCTCAGCTACCAATAGGTAGCTCTTGGGCACATTATTTAATCCCTTTAGTCTTTACTTCTTCTACTGAAAATGGCACTAATCAACCACAGGCTGGTGTTGTAAGGATTAGAATATTTAATAATATTCTGGCCTTGGGATAAGTGTGCTACATGCATTTTGTGTACGTTTTATTTGTATGCATTATCTCTTGTGATCCTTTTAGTAACTCTTGGATTCCTCTTACTATCTCTACACAGAAGGAAGGGAAGCTCAGAGGTGAAATGACTGGCCCACGTTCCTACAGTCTTAGAGGCTGGATTCAAATTCATAGCCCACTAACCACCCAGCCTGTGTTTTACCACATAATGAATTACAAGCAGTACTTCCATAGATCTTGGCAAATGATATGTATGGAGAAAACCTAGTTGTTTACATTGTTACCATAGCAATAAAAAAAATCAAAACAAGAAGATAGAAGAAATGGAAGCTACGTTAGGTTCAGTGTCGTTAGGCCCAATACCTAATTTCCCTGGTTTACTTTAGGTGTTGAAGCCCCTCTTTATTTTGTTCGTTCTCTTAAGATATTTACCAAACATTTTTAGGGTAATTTCATTTCTCTTTAGGATGCCATAAAAGGTTTATTTAAAGACCCTGTACTATCCTTTAAAGATATGAACCACTCTACAGAACCCAGGCATTTTTATTTTTGAAGCATATTCCTACCAAACTTTAAATAAACCAACTTGAAATGAACATGCATGGATGGGATTAATGCCTGGATCTTCAAATGGGTGCCCAAAACAGAGCCAGTACATGTACTAACATTCAGAATGTCCTTAAGTGACCAACCAGGAAGAAAATGCAGATACTGTATTTTGAAAGATTTTATTTAGCTATGTGTGCACACACAGACACCCTCACCCTCACCACACACAGACACAGACACACACACACACACACACACACACACACACACACACCACTGCCATTTCCATTCTTTGCTTGAAAAGAATGAGAACCAGCACACTTCTAAATTACTTTGCTAGGACTAAGACAAGAGGGAGATAATTTTGTGAAGCTCATCTTTAAACTGACATTTTAAGTTCTAAAATCCAGGAATGTTTCTTTTTTGGACTCACCCTGGGAAATTTTCTTTTTATGTTTCCAGTTCTTTTAGATCAGCCTGAGATATGGGGTTCAGGCCAACCAATTAATCCAAGCATCGAGTCGCCAAAGTTAACAAGGCCTTTTCCCACTGGAAGTAAGTTGTGTCTGCTCTGTCTGGAAAAATAAGTGACTCATTTTACTGTCTGCATAGTGAAATTAAGCAACTCTTAGAAAGTACATAAGCAACACTTGGATTGTATAATATTAAGAAAAGATGTTATTCTTTTTTTAAGTTTATTTTGAGAGAGAGAGAGAGAGAGAGAATGAGTTGGGGAGGGGGGGAACGGGGAAGAATCCCAAGCAGGCTCCATGCTCAGTGCAAACTGACATGGGGCTCAATTCCATGACTCCGAGATCATGACCTGAGCCAATATCAAGAGTCAGATGCTTAACTGAGCCACCCAGGCACCCTAGAAAAGAGGTTATTCTAATAGGCTTTAGAGGTAAAGGGGTTAGGGCAGTTTGTCAAGGCAGGAATAATATAATAAAATTATTAACTTTGAATCACAGCTTCTTCTGACATCCTATAGGCTTGTTCATTCATTCATTCACCATGCATACGGAAGAGAGAGAAGCAAGTAAGCTAGAGAATCTACCATGCTCCAGGTACTGGACTATCACACAACACAGAAGTGAACAAGTCAGATAGTCTCTGCTAGTCCTACAGGACAAGGAGGATGCATAGAACAGAAAGGACACATTGAGAAGAAAGAGGGATACTGGAGAGCAAGAGAAATGATGCTATTTGGTGGGAAGCTGAGATAGGAGGTCAGGGCAAACTTGTCTTAAAGCAGGGCCATCAGCGATGCTATCTCAGCACGCCCCCTACCCCCCACCCTCTCCTGAAGATGCTGATAGCCCTTCACCTGTGGTGGGTTGAGCTATTTGGCCTGAATGGATTGTTCATTCGGTCAAGCCACCCACTTGATGGATTTCTTGAGTTCTCATTTCAGTAAACTTCCCATAGCATATGTGCTTGTGGAAAGTACTCCTTAAAATGACTGTAGGAAGAAAACTGGGTCTCAGAAAAAGATGTTTGGTGGCGAGATGGGATGCAGAGAATATTTTTCCTTTGTAGGAAATTAATACTATATATACACACCAATTAATACTTTACCAGTTCAGCCTTCCCAGGGCTCTGCATTATGGGTCTTAAAAATAATTGTAGGAATTAACCAAGGAGATTCCTGATCAAAGTCCCAGAGGTTGTTTACTGGGATTAGTGCTATGAAACCAGGTGATCCAGTCCTTCCAAAGGTATTTCCCTCATAAAACAAGATAGGAAAAACAGCATCACCAATAACTATTTTAAATGTCTAAACTTTCAAAGATGTGTTTTTGAGAGAATTTGAACCCCAGTGGTGTGATTTTGAATGTTTCTGTCTGTTACTGGGAAACAAAGCCAGTGAAAAAGCTCTAACATCCTTGAAAAGCTTTCTTTAGAAACTGAGCCATCCAGATTATTCCTAGAAAACCTTTCCTAGATGCCAAGAAAGTCCATAAATGAAATGTTTATGTAGATAATATATTGATTTTAAGACCAACTATTGACATTTTAGAGTTTTATGAGTTTTATGTGCTGTGGTTACACTTAGCACAGCAAAGGCTATTGTATAATCGAGATGTATTGCATAAGTTTGCTCATTTCATGGTTGCAGCATAAATTTGCTATTTTACATTATTAGGCTCTTATGGTATTTTGTGTATTTTTATTGATGATGATCTCAATTTTTGCGGAGAACCTTAATCAAAAACAGAGCCCCTGATGGACTCTCAGCTTCTGTAGAAAAACACGATCCGTTTGAGGTGTAGTTTTCAGAAGCTCATAACTAAGATTAGGAACCAGGTATTTCTGGGCTTTAGGATGGTAGCTGTCAGCCAGGCCTGGTGTATAGAAAGATGGGATGCTTTCTGAAATTAAATGAAGTCAAGTGAGGGTGGAGTGACACAAAGGGGCTCTTTTTAATGCAGGCAGGGAGAGGATACTGTAAGAGCTCTCCAGCCAGGGCCCAGCTGACCCACTCTGCTTTTAGGTTATGAAAGATTGGGCCACATTCAGATTCACTGGTTTATGAGATTAGTGTGAACTCTTTGAATCTACTAAATGTAGCAGGTGACAGGAAAACATACATTTAAAGAAAGAATAAGGAGCTCCTGGGTGGCTCAGTCGGTTGAGCGTCAGACTTTGACTCAGGTCGTGATCTCAGGACTTGTGAGTTCAGGTGTGCTTTTTCAGCGCCGAAGCTGTCAGCGATCCTCTGTAACTCACCCCCCCCCCCCCCCCCCCCCCCCCCCCCCCCCCGCACCACCCCTGATCTTTGCCCCTCCCCTGCTCGCATTCTCTTTCTTCCAAAAATAAACATTTTTTAAAAAGAAAGAAAGAATAAGACAAAAAAAAGTACCTGTTGAAATAGTAATCCCTAACTTTGCCCGCAAAATGACAAGTCTAGTTCAGAAGGTTGAATCTCTGGGTTGGGGCAGTAATATAACACTTTTTCGATCTGAAGGGTTTTGTTTAGCCATAATTTTTACCAAGGGAATCTACGTATTCTTCCTTGCTCCAAATCATATTGCTTCAGACATTCAAAAATATACTAAAATTTAAGATGTGTGACTTTTTTTTGAGGGGAGAGAGGGACAGAGGAAGAGGGAGAAGAGAGAGAATGTTAAACAGTAGAGTCTGATCTCACAACTGTGAGATCATGACCTGAGCCAAAATCAAGAGTTGGACACTTAACCAACTGAGCCACCGAGGCGCCCCTAAGATACATGACTTTGAGAAATCTTTCCAGACTCAACCTAGGCAATACTATCTTGACTACATTAAAAACCCCCTCATCTGAGCTTCCACCAAGATAATTCTCATTTCCTCGACCACCCCTGGATTGTAATCATCTGTTAACATGATATCCATCCATTCATTCATAAATTCCTTGAGGACAGAGGCTTCTTTTATTTAGCCCTTTGCCCCTAGTTCCTAGTACAGGATATAGAACTTTGTTGGTACATGAAGTTCGTCCAAGAAAGGAATGAATAAATAAAATGAAGACATTATCATTATCTGACATTTTTTGACGAATTCTTATTAGCATAAAATGGAAGAATCTGAAGGGGTCCTGCTTCAGTTTCTTAGCTCTGAACTTAGAAATCTGTAGACCATTAATGGCGGTAACATTTCCAACAGCAGGAATGTGAATGAAAGCGCACATCCTGCTGACCTGCAGAATACTGTGTAATTTAGGGAGAAAATCATCAATAACGCCTGACTTCCTGTGTCTTTGTAGCACCTCCACCACTGCCTCCCAAAAATGTACCGGCCACCCCGCCCCGAACAGGTTCCCCGCTAACAGTTGCACCAGGTGAGCTTCCGTTTTTCCTGTTCTGGGGTGATATGGCCACCAGTGGTGGCCCCGGACCTCAACATGGATGTGTCAGAAGCTGTAGACACAAAGCGTGAAAATGTTCGCATTCAGTGTTCCTTCCATTCCCACTTACTTAAAGTATCACTCTCAGGTTTCACAAAATGGTTCTCTTTCTCAACTGATTTTCCCTCTGTGTCATTTTGTTGAATGAGAGCCACGTTTACGTGTGAAGTGAAAGAAAACAATCTCAATAGCAAAGGTCCTTGTTTAATTGGCATTTCACTTCATTGGATCTCATTTTAATGATTTACAGATTCAAAATCTCAAGGCACAATTCTCATTGTCCCAAGAACTGATAATTTTTTTTCCTAGAATTAAAACTACAAATTAAAACTATGTCTAGTCTACAAAGACATAGGATGGCTCCCAGGATGTGCAGCATATGGGTAAGCTTGGGAGGTGGGGATTTTTTTTTCCCAGTAATCCATATTATCCCATGGCAAAGAGATGTGTAAGGATAATGAAATATGGCAAGGAATTGCCACATGCCTTTAGACAGATATTTCTAAGGCACATTTTACCTTCTATTAAAATCAATACTACATATTCATGCAATTTATAATCTATTATTGGACTAGCAAGTCCAAAGCAGTCATTGCTATTTTATGTGTCTGGACCCTTAGAATATGGTTTTTATCACCTTTGGAATTCTATTGAAGTTTCATCCTTTGCTATATATGCAGCCTGGTGAGCTTGAGAGCTACAGAGTAGGTATTCATCAATAAGACCAAGTGCAAGGCATAGTCATTTTTGAAATTTATACTGATTAAAATCCAACAAAAAGTCATCCAGAGTATCATAGGTAAGGGTGTTTCCAAGTTCAAATCATTTTGATTCCTTGTATTACCATAAATATATTAGAGACAAATAACTCTACCAGTGACAAAATTATAAATATTGTGGGATATGCAAATTGCTACCCCATTTATCTGTGGCCTGGGAACCTTGAAGGTTAATTCTTTTCAAACACGAAATATGGAAGTACTAAGCCAGTTCGTAGAGCCAAAGTGTTCTTTAAAGGTTAAGTTGCTTCTGCTCATGCCCCACAATTATTCAGGGAACAGTTTCTAATTTCAATAGTTTTTAAAAAGTGCACTTCCTCACATTGCTGTTTTGACCAAGCATTCCTTGTCAGGCTGCAGAAGATAGTTTTCATTTTTTTTCCTTTTATTACTGGTAAGAATTAAAAAGAATAGCTGATGCTAATGTTTAGGCCAGAGACTTTTCTGTACTTCACAGTTATGCCTACGAAGTTAACAGGTTGAACTTGATGAGAAAAGAAATTATAAAGATGTTTTTGCAATTTTCCTCCCTATTAAATAAGTATATATGTGATAGTTCTAATAAGTAGTAAATGTCTTCTCAATAACCTGTGTGTGTTGTATGTGGGGTGTATATGTGTGTGTTTGTAAATATATATGTGGGGATAGTCCTTTAAATAATCGTAGTACTGTTTCTGGTGTATTTAGCCAATTATGATATTTTTTAAACTAACAGATATTATTAGTTTCACTAAACATTTTAATATGCTCAAGTAGACAGTCTTTGTCAAATATGAAGGTGATTTTCAGCTATCAATTATTTTTCTACTGTGTTGTCTATATTTCAGTAGGCCAGACTTTCAGAAGGGACCTCCCTTTTGGAATGCAGTTTCAGAGGCTGTACTCTGTGAACCTTCTCAAAGTGCAGCCTTTTCAAAATGATCACACTTTGCACTCTTGTGAGCAGCCTTTGAGAGCGGGAGCATGCTCAACGCTTTCAATGGTGGTAAAAATAGCTAACTGGGGTCACCCAGCAAAAAGGGTAAAATAACAACATAAAATGATAATTCTCACATTATGGAGACAGGGAACTCTCTCCTCCCCTTCAGCTCTGGTCTAGTTATTTTTAACCTCACAAGGCAATCTATTTACTATTCTTTGCCTCACCCCTCCCACCCCCACCCCATACAAATAATATTCACAAAGTTAATTAAAGTTAAAAATCAACTACTTTAACCACAGGAAATGACCAGTCAGCCACAGAGGTCAAAATTGAAAAACTACCATCAATCAATGACTTGGACAGCATTTTTGGCCCAGTGTTGTCCCCCAAGTCTGTTGCCGTTAATGCTGAAGAAAAGTGGGTCCATTTTTCTGATACGTCCCCGGAACATGTTACTCCAGAGTTGACTCCAAGGGAAAAGGTGGTGTCCCCACCAGCTGCATCAGACAACCCATCTGACTCCCCAGCTCCAGGCCCCCCGGGCCCTCCAGGCCCCCCAGGCCCCTCAGGACCCCCTGGTCCTCCTCGCAATGTACCATCGCCGCTCAATTTAGAAGAAGTCCAGAAGAAAATCGCTGAGCAGACCTTCATTAAAGATGATTACTTAGAAACAATCTCATCTCCCAAAGATTTTGGGTTGGGACAGAGAGCAACCCCACCTCCCCCACCACCACCCACCTACAGGACTGTGGTTTCATCCCCTGGACCTGGCTCGGGCAGTGGTACGGGGACCACCAGTGGTATGTCTTACTGTTTGAGTGTGCTTCATGTGACCGGGAATGGCCATGGCTGCTGCAGTGTGAGCAACACCCTCCTCCTGCCTGGCAGTTGGCTTTAGAGCTTCAGCCATCCCTCCTTTGGTGTGGGTGTTCTGTGGCCCCATGGCATGTCCTAGTGCATTGAATGCTAACTGTCATAGTACGAGTCTGTGGATGTGTTCTGCCCTGCGCTCCTAGCCCTCAGGAGTGTCCTGCTTTCCACCCTGCAGATAGAAAGTGTATGTTTTGTAAGGGAAGCTGCTGTGCCATCATTTGGGATTCGGGAAAGTTCTAGAAAGACAGATTTCATAGCCAGTGTGTTTCATGTTAAGTGTATAATTTCCCTGTCAGATGCCTGTATGAAGGGTTTCATTTTTTAGTTTGTTTTGCTTTGTTTTCAGCTTTATTGAGTATAATTGACAAAATTGTAAGATCTTAAAGTGTACAATGTGACTATATATATATATATATATATATATATATATATATATATATATATATATATATATATTGAAAGGCTTCCTCCCATCAAGGTAACTAACACATCACATGTCACATATTTACCTTTTTAGGGGTTAGGTGGGTATACATTAGATCTTCAGACTTTATTCATCTTATAACTGAAAATTTATACTTTTTCCCCCAAGGGTCCTAATTTTGGTAGGTGAATGTATTCTTTCTTCTTCTACTTTTTTTCTCTTTCCTTTCTTTCTTTTTTTGTAGGGGAGAGCCATTAGCAATTAGAGTAATCCTTCTAATTACTTCAGAAAAAAAGAAGTAGGGTTTGAAAAGGAGATTTTAGGGGACAGCAAAAAGAATATACCTTACTGCATCCACAAGTTAATCAAGCTGCCACTGAAGACAAACTATTCTCTGATTTGATTTTGAGAAGCTCATCAGCCTATGAAGTCAACTTTAAGTATCATGACAGGTGATGGAAAAGTCTATCAGAAATGTACACTTGGGACTCTATATGCGAATGTTGATATTGAATCTGATATTTTGGATTTCTTTATTTGAAGCTTCATAGGATGGGAACACCTGCCATGCAAACCGAAGAAAGATCAAGATTTTCTAACGTATCTTTTTCCATCGTTTTTATTCTACTGGTGCTCACATTTGTCTGGCAAGACCCTTTGGTGCTTCCCTTCTGTGCTTGTGGGTTCAGTTTGGGCACCTTCTCAGGGGTGCCGTGTGCTTTTTGTTTTACATTTGCTTTGGAAGAGGTGACCAAGTTTATGCTATTTAGATCTAGTAAGAGACAGGAAGAAGAGGCATTTGTCTCTATTCTAAAAATCAGTAGTCACTGCTGCCTCTTTTAATGGAGTAGTTCAGTGCTTGCTTTATGTGTGAAAATTCCTGTGCTTTAAGCATCCAAGCTGATCAAGGAGAGGGCTGGAGATTCACCTGTACCACACACAGGTAGTACAGGTTTTATATCGATGTTTTATATCATTACGTGTGCCCATGTGCCTTCCTCCAATAAAAAAGGAAAACGATCCGGTACACAAACAAGTTTCAGGAACATTATGTTAAAACAAAATCAGCAGGGTTTTATTTACTATAGGACTTCTGATAGCCTTTATTTTGCCAATAATAACAGCTATAGTTTCTTCTCCTGGGTATCATCTTAATGCTTTATGTACATCATTTCATCCATACAACCCCATGTGATAAATGCTCTTATTTCCCCCATTTTACAGATGGGAAAACTGAGGCTCAGAGATGTCAAGTAGTTTTCCCAGGTTTACACAGCTACAGGTGATAGACTTGGGATATTCAGTCATGCTCAGGTCTGTCTGATTCTGAACCTGTGTTCTTAATCACTGTGCTCTCCAGGCACTCTTTTAGGGTTTAGTTACAAAATATCCCAAACTTACTTGACCACTCACACCCACCTATACTGCACTGTGTCATCAACAAGATTACCAAAAGTTTTCTTCCAAAACCTACTTCTCTGTTCTCCCCTCTACATTTCTAGATTGTTAGAGTACCCGCTTCCATCCTCTGATGCTTTTTTAGACCATTTTTGGGATATAAGCCTCCTTGCTTATCTGTAAAGGTAATAAAGAGACCCTAGGTAAAGCCTTCAGTTCAGATTTCAAACTCAAAGAAGCTGGCTGCCTAATGTCAAAGAGGGGTGTGTTTCCAGGGTCTTCTATGGTACTCTCTTTCCAGGGTGAGGCTCTCAGTCTTCTGAAAAGACTTCTAGAGGAATAACCCCCTCATTCCAGTAGTAGGCCACTGTGCTGTCCTCAAAATGGTCATGTTCAGTTGGGGAAAGGGAGGTCAAGGCAGTTTTGTTGTTCATCCGCTTCTTCCATCCCCTTCCACAAGACTCTGGAAGATGTTTAATTGAGTTGACCACTGACCTAATGACTGCAGAAGGGAGCCTTAGCTTTCTTTCTGAAATCTTTGAGAATTTGGTTGTCATCTTTATGTTTAGCTGCCATACCCTTATTTGAAATTATTTTCAGGTGTTACCAGTAAAGACTATTGATTCTTTTTTTAAATGTTTATTTATTTATTTTGAGACAGAGAGAGAGAGAGAGAGAGAGCAAGAGCCCATGGCGGGGGAGAGGGGGAGAGAATCCCAAGCAGGCTCTGTGCTGTTAATGTAGAGCCCGACATGAGGCTCAGATTCACAAACCATGAGTTCATGACCTGAGCCAAAATCAAGAGTCAGACCCTTAACTGACTGAGCCACCCAGGTGCCCCAAAGACTATTGATTCTTAATGATTGAACTGGAAAAAAACTATATTTTGCTGGTATTAAAAGATTGAATTTTTAAGTGGAAGATTGAACTCGATCAATGAAGCTCATGAATAAATAAAACTTTGCACCATTATCTCCATAATTAATTCCTAGTTTATTTGCCATGTAATGTTTTATTGATGGAATATACACAGACTAGCAGAAATGTAATTTTACGACGAACACAATGAGAGATGAACACAATGAGAGAGGGCCACATGTTTTAAAGATTAGCAATGCTTCTCAAGACCTCCTTTTTATAATAGCCTGATGAGACTAGCTTTTCCTGTATGTCTCAAACTATATTTAACTGGGTGTCATTATGCTCACTTTTGAAATTTTATTCACTTGGTCACTGACCAAGTTAGACAGTACTCACAGCCTTGTCAATCAGTTGCTTTACCTGATGTTGAAAAACTGTTCGAAGTTAAGAATTTGCTTTAAGAAGTCCAGTTTCCTTATGGCAAAGTTATAAATACCTAGTTTGGCCAGAACTTTGCTTTATTGGAATGGAGATGATGATTCTCTTGGCAAAGGCCATTTCTGGTTTCTTGTGGGTTATGTGCCAGGAGATAGGAGGGAGAAAGAGTTTTACTGGCCTGCAGCAAGTTTAAAGACTAGGGAAAGAGAGATGTTAGTAAAGATAGAATGTTCAGTGCAACATTCTCCAACTTGAGAAACGAAGACAATATTAAAAGATGTTACACACACACACACACACACACACACACATAAACAAATGAGTGTGAACTAACTGGGGTTGAATTGAACAAATATATTTCCTAACTACAAGTCTTTTTAGAGTGGCAGAGTCTAAATAGGGAAGCCGCTAGCCAACAAAGAGAGATGAAAGTTGAATCAATAGTTATGTGGTTTCCAAGGGACTGACAAAGACACTATGCTAGAACTTCAAGTTGACGCAGAAATGGATTCAGAGCATGTCATTGGTTGCTAACTTTTTTGAACTCACAAAAGTCAAATAACATACACGTGATTTTTAAAGTTAAACTTAAAATCGTGATACCCAGTTTTTTCCAGTGCTACTGTTGGGAATGAATAACTGCTTGAGGAATGAATGAAAATATAATTCCAGATCAAAGGATAAGGATAGAGATGTACAGCCTTCTACATTCTTAGAATATGAACAGTTGTGCAACCTCACAAAAGCATGGGAAGCCTTAGTTCACTTATGAAATACCCCTCAAGTGCTGAATACCCTGTGCTGAACCTCAGGGTTCTGCCCAGAGGATTTTGCTTCATAAACACTGCCTCAGTGTCTATCCAACTGCATAACAAGCCAATCAAGTCAATTCAGTTAGGAAAAAGTGAAAGGAAAAGGAGACCAGTCAACTACTAGCCACTTTTTTCTTGGCTTTTAGTTGTATCTGTATGATCTAGTCCCATTTATTTGTGTAGCATTTTACAGTTTACTAAACACTTACATGCGTTTTCCATTTTGTTTGTTACAATTACCTTGTAAGGTAGAGGCATATAATTTTTTTTAAATAGGAAGCTGAGGGTCAGAGAAGTTAATATCCCACAGCTGATAAGAGGCAGACAGGGTCAGAACTCGGAGCAACTGAATTTGTCCAGTTGTTTTTTTGTTTTGTTTTTTTTTTTTCATTATTCCACACTGCCTTGATGACAGCACCCATATTACTTTCCCAAGCAGTAGTGATAGTGGTTTTTAAAACTTTCCCTCCTGGAACATGTAGAAGAAGGATAAGCAGCTGACTTTTTCCTGAGCTGGATTCAGAAGACTATTACTTGGAAACAGAATAGATAGACCATGGATAGATATTTTCAACCATTCCTATGGCATGGTTTTCCTGTGAAACAGAGCCTAGAAAAAGCCCCATGAAACTTCCTCACAAAGACTTTGTTGTTTAATGGTTTACTTTTCATCTCTTTGCTGTCACTTCTGTTTCCTGAAAACATCCTGGGTGTGAATCTATTAAGTTAAAAGAAAAGTTTGTAGTGGAACCTGTCAGAGCACATCTTATTTTTTTTATTCAAAAACAGATTAGCCAAAGACTAAAAATATTTATGTTGAGAGAGATGTGTGCAATCTGTCGATGCAAACATAAGAGTGGGCTTTATGCAAAATATGGGATTCCACAATCCACCTCAAGCTACAAGACATTGCATTTAAGAGCTTGAGCTTTGGAGTTAAGTAGACCATCTGAGCTGTGTGACTGAGCAAGTTACTGAATATCTCTGAGCTTTAGCTCTGATTAGGATAACTACAATACCTTCCTGAAAAACTTAGTATGGGGATAAGACAATGCATGTAAAGTATCTAGCATAGATCTTGGCCTCATAAAATAAGAAGTAAGAATACAGTAAAAAGTGGTAAAGGTGGAGAGTCAGTAGAAGTAGGGATGGAGGTGGCAATAATTTTAGTAGGGTTTCACACTAAGAATAAGAACGTTATAAAATAGAAAGAAACACAACACACTCTGCTGTTCAATGTCAAAGTTCTCTGACAATCTCAAAATCTGTAGATGGAGATCAGCATCTTGCTGATCTAGGATTCTCCAGAGAGCATCGTTTTGTGGCATGTAAGACAGGAGGATAGGAGTAAGCAGCTATTTTCCTTTTTAAAAAAATGTTTACTTATTTTTGAGAGAGAGTGTGTGTGTGTGTGTGTGTGAGCAGAGGAGGAGCAGAGAGAGATGGAGACACAGAATTGGAAGCAGGCGTCAGCCTCCGAGCTGTCAGCGCAGAGCACGACGTGGGGCTCGAACTCATGAAATCATGATCTGAGCCGGTCTGATACTTAACTGATTGAGCCACCCAGGCACCCCTGTGCGGTTATTTTCCCGAGGCAGGGTTTCTTAGAAGTTTCTTGGAACCAGCTGATATCTGTGCTTCCAACCAAAGTGACAACCCTCTAGAGTAGTTGGAACTTTTCTGAACAAGAACTATTTGGAATATTTATCTGAATTTCTTAAGGTGTTTAGCCAAATAGTCTATCCACATATCCCAGACATCTGGCTAAAGATAGACAGAGCCCTGAATCTAGAGACCCTACCGGTGTGCTGATTAGTGTGCATGCCTCTGTGTGTCTTCTGCGTTTCTCCTGCTTGTCATTGACAGCCAGAAAAGTAAATCCAAGAGGCCCTTTTAAAAATCACCACAAAAATCATCACGGGCAAACTCTACATAGAACAGATTCCAAAATAGCCTCCTTCAAAAAACGCAATCCTCTAAATTCAATGGTTTCTGTTATTAAGATGCTAAATGCAACATACTTGTGCCATCTCATTTACTTTCTTCTATGCTGTCCTTTGCTCGCCATCAAGGGTTTACTTACATTTATTAAAGCTCGCACTCATATTTTCATGCACAGTAAAAAGGAGAATTCTCTTATACATGTTTTTAAAAAATATATATGCATATATATATATATATATAATGTAGAAAAATCGTTCACCTTCCTTCAAGGTCTAACCTCCATTTTCACCTTGGACATAAATCCTGAATATGCAAAAACAAGAGAATTTATTCTAAGTTCAGTGTGCATGTGGTCAAAATAAAAGGTACTCACCACCCAGCTAAAAGGGTCTTAAAGCATATTTTCCATCACAGAGAGTAATAAAAGGATTTACCTTTCACTGGGTGTCACATGACAACAAAAGGCAATAAGCTTCAGCTTCTACCATCAATTATAGTTCTGAGTGATTTTTTTTTTCTTTGTTAAAAAAAAAAACACCACTAGATGCTAGAGTGTTGGGTGTACTAACTGGTAAGGTGAAGAAAAGTACCTGGGACTGGCATTGTGGGGATGGGGAAGGGGAGTCACATGATGACAGCTCTTGGCCATGTGCGTTTCCAGCCATTTGTAATACCCGTTTGTCTTTCAGGTGCATCATCCCCTGCTCGACCAGCCACTCCCTTGGTTCCTTGCAGTAGCACCACCCCTCCACCGCCTCCTCCCCGGCCTCCATCTCGGCCAAAGCTACCTCCAGGAAAACCTGGAGTTGGAGATGTGGTATGTTCCCTTCTGCCCTGGCTTGCTCAGAGACTCAGGGTGAGAATGACAAACAGAAGCCAAAATACCTTAACACAGGCCATCTCAACGGCCGCAGATCACTGGTACAAATGGCCCTGACAGATGGCGTCTGAAAGGCAGTCACTGTAGGATGGGTGTACATTTCAACCCTCCCCAAATCACTACCATCTTTCACGTCAAGGTCTAAAACGGTAGGAATTGGAAGCTGGGGCTGTTAGTTCTGCTACAGTGGGTTTGATGGAAATTAAGATAGGAATGCTCAATTGTGCTAAATCCTTTAAAAAGGGAGGTGTTTCCTTTCACCCTACTTATCTGTTTTCAGAAGACTCTAAGAGAGGGTAGGGTAGGTAGGTCCTGGTTTCCATCCCTAGACTAAGAGAACTTACTGGTGTTAGGCACACCATGTTAATACATAGGAGGGCGGTAGCCTGATAAATTTGTTCCAGGTGTTTCTTGCATTGTGTTTTAAGGCTGAAGAGGTAGAAAACATTCTGTGTGAATGATTAAGAGACTTCTGGAAGAGGTCAATTTGTTTGATATCCACACACACAGGAGTCACAAACTGGTGATGTCCACAATATTTGGCTTAGCTAGCATAGTTTAGTACATTGTATGTAAATATCCTTAAATGGGTATAAGCTCTCACATGAGGTTACCTGCTTAGTCCCTGAGGGCATGTATGTTCACAGTCCTGAAACATCACTGACCACATCACAGTTTGCAGCTTCTCTAAGCCTGATATACCTGCTGAGTGTAGCACACCATGTCTCACGGTTCCTCCAGCTCCTTCCATAAGCTCTTGTATGGATATAATCAATTTCAAGACAAAAATGGTGTCACCTGTACTCTTGTAAGAACCTGAGTTATCGTATCTGTTGCTGGGAGATGTCAAAAACATGGAACAAAAGTGCTACCACCTGTGTACCTAATTTTCCATCTCTTTTCTTTTTCCCGCAGCCCAGACCTTTTAGCCCTCCCATACATTCTTCCAGTCCTCCTCCGATAGCACCCCTTGCCCGAGCTGAAAGTACTTCTTCAATATCGTCCACCAATTCCCTGAGTGCAGCCACCACTCCCACAGTTGGTAAAAATTATCTCCTCTCTTTTAATCTGTTTGTTGTTTTGACTGGCTCTTTTTTATGATCTGAAAACCTCAAGGCCCTATATTTCTGGTTGAAATTATTTTGCTCTGTGTTCCGCTACTATCAGCTGACTCTTCTTTTAAAAGCACCTTCTCAGCAAAGGAGGCAAAATGCTTTAAGCAGATAAACAAATAAAAGAACATTAACACCTATATTTTGCAGGAATTCTCTTATGCTATTCCATACAGAGTTATTCATAAAAATAAAGAAGAAATCGTCAAATAAGGTCCTGTAATTGATATATTATTTCTTATAATGAAAACATTCTCCTTTGAGGAGGAATATTTAAGTGCCAATCGTGTACCACATCAGAAATCACAAAAATTTAGATCTTCTATTTTCTTGAAACTTTCATTTCTTGATGATTTTTGGTTGTCCTTTTGTTGACAGATGGTTTAAGTGTTGGCATTGTGGGACTTGAACAGACTTTTTGACATTTTTTTCTAGTGCTTTTCAGTGATGTGTGGTCAATTTTCCCCGAGAAATAAGTCATTGCTGGCATTTTCAGTAAATGCCTTTGTGCCTCTTTCCTTATGGTGTGATGAAAGTCAAGAGTTGAGAATGGCTGCTCAGCTGGATGGTTTTCCCAGGTTTAAATGCCTCATTTTGCCTGGAGCATCTTCCCTCATCCCAATGCTGATCTCTTTCTATACCTCATTACCCATCTTCCATAAGCTGCTGCTGTCTCATGTTCGCATGGTGTCTCGACCTGGGGCTCTCCCGTTCCATTTTTTCCCATTGTCTTCCTTTATTGTCTGAACTCCCCTCCAAGCCTTCCATATCATAAACCAGCCAGCCCATCCTGCATTGCTTGGGAGAATCATTAATCCAAAGCTAAATGAATTCCTGCTATTATTTACCAAAGACACTACAGAGCTGCCCATGTGAGAAGTAGTTGGATCAAAGCCTGAAGCTCTTCTGGAGAACCTGTTTTCGCAGGGTGTGCCTCGTAGGGTCTCCAAAGAGAATTTCAACTGTATCATTTGTTCTATATTTTCAATCGTGCCACCCCAAAAGAAGCCTTCAAATTTGGTAAAAATATAGCCAGCTATCCAATTTTGTAAGATTCATTAATAGACCGATATTTAACATTATTTACATAGCCTAGTCTATTCTTTCTCTGCATCATCAAATGAGGTAATTTGGGGCTTCCTATTTTAAGATGCCCAGTAGGTCAGTTCTCTCTAGGGCTTTTGTTCGTTTTTTCTGTAATGTCTCAATCTAATTTTTTTTTTAACGTTTATTTACTTATTTTGAGAGAGAGAGAGAGAGAGAGAGAGAGAGCATGAGCACTAGAGAGGGAGGGGCAGAGAGAGAGAGAGAGAGAGAGAGAGAGAGAGAATCCCAAGCAGGCTCCACCCTGTCAGTGAGCAGCCTGACATGGGGCTCAGTCTCACAAACCCTGAGATCATGACCTGAGCAGAAATCAAGAGCCCAACGTTTAATCTACTGAGCCACCCAGGCACACCCCGTGTTTTTGAACACTCTCTAATATTCTTGATTGCTACAGCCATTTCACCACTCCTCTGGTTTTTGTTTTTGTTTTTGTTTTATTTGGGGCGTTGTTTTGGTTTTTTCTCAAGATCATTTCTTCCACCTACCCCATGTGATTTTCCTGGTTGGTCAGAGAAGAAAGTAAGAAGAAGAAACCGTCACTCAGAAAGCTGACCTGAAGTGACCTCAGATGGCCGATTAACATACTCTTTAAACTCACTGAGATTCATAGAGAAAATTACACACAGAGAATTTGAATGTAAACATGTGCCCATGTTTTACACCATGTGTTTTTATACACCCTGCTGTGGAAATCTCAAATCCTGGCCAGTGACTTTGATTCTTTTAAAGAAAATTTTTTTTTTCAACGTTTATTTATTTTTGGGACAGAGAGAGACAGAGCATGAACGGGGGAGGGGCAGAGAGAGAGGGAGACACAGAATCGGAAACAGGCTCCAGGCTCTGAGCCATCAGCCCAGAGCCTGACACGGGGCTCGAACTCACGGACCGCGAGATTGTGACCTGGCTGAAGTCGGACGCTTAACCGACTGCGCCACCCAGGCGCCCCATGATTCTTACCACATCTAGTATGCATTCTTTCAAGATGAATGACACAGGGGTTAAAAAAAAAAAAAAATTAAGCCACCTGAGAGGATACTCATATTGCTTCATTGCTGAGGAGCATTCTGACTTAATTCATTTGGTTCTGTTATTTTTATTTGGTTTTCGTCTTCCTCACTCTCCTATTCTTTACTTCCTGTTGCTGTGGGTCACCTGACAGCCACTTCTCTCTGAAGTAAATACGTTGTCAAATGACTAACCGACAGCTTCTGTGTATTGCTGTTTATCTCTTTCTGGAGAGAATGTGCTTTGGTCGTTCAGCACAAAAGGGCCGACTATTCATGACTGACTTGGAATGTCAACTTTAGGTAGTCAAATGGCATTGGGGGAAATAAAGAATTTCAGCAGCAAATTTTTGAGTTTGGTGGCTCAACATTTCCCTCCTACCACATAATACTTTTTTGACATTTCCTATGACATTTGAGCCCAAACTGGGTAAGTGTGGTGGAAACTTTGTGCATATTTATTTGTAGTTGCTTATGGCAAAGTTTAACGTAATTCAAGGACTAAATTTTTAAGACCAACCTAATTTTCCCACACAATTCCTGTACAAATGCAGCCCCCAAAGACTTTAGACATAAAATCTTTCATGAAAGCTGTGATTACAAAGTCGTAAATCTGATGCCACACCTGAAAATAGGACTTTGTGTGCACTGCCACACTCAAATAACGAAGAACCCCTCTGGAACTGTATATCACTGACTTTAAGACACTTTCTATCAGAAGATGCACTGTTATTTTATATATGACTAAAAAGGAAGGGAAAACTGTCAAGTGAGCTAAGATGCAATGCCTTCTTACCACGTTAATTTTAAGACCCATCCCAATTTCAGAAATGTTAAAATGTGAAAAGTGCACATATCAGAATCAATGAAATATATGAGAAACCCCTTTTGCACAAGGAAAACTCATACCCCTTCACTATTTGAGTTTGGGGAAAAATCCTGCTAATATTCTGGGAATAGAGAAAATGTTTAAAATTGTTCTAAGAAACAAACTCCTAGACATTTAAAGATAAACAGAGCTATGTCTAATTTAAATATCCATTTTTATTACTTTTTTCTTTTTTCTATGGGTGATAAGGGTTTGTTTGTTTGTTTGTTTGTTTGTTTATATGTTTGCAAAATATTTCTTTGGTACCCCAGTACAATAAGACTACCATAAAGACAAATTTTTCATTGTTAAATTCACTCTTAATTATATTCCTTTGCTGTTAATTATGCATTTTCAAGTGCATCTCTAACCCCACCCCCCACATCTGAATGAATAAAAAGTAACCATTTACAGGCACCAAAGGAAGTATCAGGTAGATTTTGATATCTCATTTGATGAAGAACTTTGAGCAAAAGTGATTTGTATTCAGTACTGAAATATTAGTCATAGCATCTAAATCATACAGTATTTCCTGTAAGCCTTTGTCTCCAAGCTGGGTGGCAATTCTGAATTGGATAAACATTCTTCTAAAAATGCTTGTATTGCACAGAAAATCCTTTGGAGATGGATATTCCTGATCTCAATTAAAAATTTCCACATTTAATTTTAGTCTTTTTTTTTTCTTTCTACTATTTGTTTTGGAAAAACCTGTACATCTGGCTTCCCCATCCCAGATCAATTTGAGGCAATTTCCATGGCTAGTTCTTAAGGAAATTTTTCCTTCTATACTTCACTTGAAGTATTTAAGGCAAGCACAGAACTATCCAATAACCCATCTTTTAAGTTCCCCAATTTAGTTATGAAGTTTTCTTCTAAGCCCTCAATGTCCAACCACCATAAAAAAAAATTGTGAGCGTGTTATTCAACGCTGTTTCGTAACTTCAGCTGAAAAAACAAATGGCAGTATTTGAGGCTCCTCATTTTGGTGTTTGCAGTGGTGTTTTTTGGTTTTTTGTTTGTTTGCTTGTTTGTTTGTTTGTTTGTTTCAGTGTGTGAAGTTTGCCTTCTATTTTTTTTTTAAGTATTTTATTTTAATTCTAGTCTAGTTAACATACAGTGTTACATTAGTGGCAGGTGTATAATATACTGATTCAACAATTCTATACATTACTCCGTGCTCATCATGATGCAGGCTCCTCATTTTGAGGAGATTGTAAATACGAAATTAGTTCTTCAAAAGAAAGCAATATCCTCCATCATTTCGCACTAACAGCTATGAAAGAGTATTGTAACGTTCAGTTACTGCCAGCGTAACTGTTTTGCTTCCTAGTTTCTGGACAGATTATGGAGGGTCCTTCTTAGTGCCAGTTCCATTTGTCCTGTTCCTCTCCTCCTCTCCTACAGATGTTACAGACATTGCATTAACTTGTTCTACCCACCAAGGAAGCCACCTCTATAATTAAAAACTGATTGGCAGGTGATATCCTAGAACCTTAAAAAATGCCAAAGAAGTATTTTCCCCACTTTACTTCCTAAGTCTGGAAGGCAAGCCAGTAGAATATTTTTCCAAGAAACATTGTTTATAGACCTTATCTTCTCTACATTATAGGAGGGATTCTCCCTTATTGGTCTTTGTACAGATTTTATTCAATTTTTTATTGAAATTGTAATAATACTCTTAAGAACTATGGAACTGAGTGCTTTTTTTGATCACATAGCATAGAACTCCAATTACCTGCATTTGTTAGTTGGGGAGAAAGGAGATTATGTGCAAAGATCTGGAACGATTTGGGGTTCAGAGCAACTGTTGTGATCAATTCACAAAGACATTTGGCCATAACTGGATACCATAGCCAAAGACGGAATTACAGTAATGTTGTCCAAAATTAACAGGCCATAACTACTAAAGACAGGTGCAAGGCAAACTGAATTTGGATACCAATGAGTTTGAAATGGGATACTTCATTCAGCAACCTCAGATTTATACTGTTGCCTTTTTTATGGTCTCATTGAAAGCTTACTCTTTCCCACTGGGGCAGGGGAAAGGCATATCCCGAGTGATCTTGTTGAGCTGTCCGCACTCTGCCAAGCGGTTCTGTTGATGGACATATGTCTGGCCACTTGAGAACTGTGCCTGAGTGAAATACACTTACACGAGTCAATTATTAATGATAGTGCCTTTAACAACTCCCTGAAAAGGTGGGGACGTGATTTCTTCCACAGAGCTGACTTCAGCCAAACTCACAGATGCTGAAATCTGGCATTTTCAAAATTTTAATTTTTTCTCATAGAGCCATCATGAAATAAACACATCACCTTTTTATACCCTATCATTATCCCAGTATATTAGGTTTTGTTTCCTTTTTCCATTAATATCATTCTTGTTTCAATCCGTGAAGTGTACTGCTTGATTTCATTTGGGATTTGTATTTGTGTTTTTGTTTTCCATTCCTTTATATTTCTTTGGTTCGTAGTGTCAGAAGATGATGTTTTTTATGACAAACTGCCCTCGTTTGAAAGGCGCTGTGAAACGCTGGCAGGTATGGTGCTAGCCAAGTGATCTCTAGATATCTAGACTTTAAAAATCCAAGCCATTATACCATCTGACTGCTATAAACTTCATGGACATGCTACTCACCTCATGAGTGTCTGGTGCCTCTCAGATGCACCCTATTTATTGTTCATCATGGAAATCATGCCACCGAAATTTTTTTTTGAGTGAACGTATTAAAAAGCAGCAGGTTGCATGACAGTTTCTCAAAAGGTTTGAAAAAGGTGAGATGCTATTGCTTTGTGAATTTACAAAGGAAGGAATAATTTAACTGCTCAGAATTACATGTCCAGTGACTGCTATTTAATTTAAAATATAATAGAGCACCGTTAGTAATCCTGTTTTCTCTTTGGTACATAGGTAAAGGGTGTTTTGTGTCTGGATGCCTAAGGTGATTCCAGGGGAGGGGACGGAAGATATGTGACTTCTTCCACAAACTTTAAATTGATATGCAATGCTGTTGTCATTTAAAACCTAAGCTAAGTTTGATATAACCCATAACTCCAAGTTTATCTTTTTGCAAATATAGAAGGGGATGACATTGAAGATGAAATGGATACAGCAATTGCTGAATGACAGTTTGCCCAAACTAGTGCAGTTAAAATATGCTGACGCCCCTGCATGGCCAGGAAGACTTCTGCTCCATGCGCTCAAGCACCAAGTATCAAGCTACCAACAACACATGCCCATCCCTTTAGGCCTCCATAGCTTTGCTTTTGCTTTCTGTTTCCTGAACTAAAAACAAAACGAAACACAGATTGCCAGCCTTCCCTTTTTCCTGCACGCTAATGGCATGCAGTGCCTCTGCCCTCCCCCATAGTGAGATTAATGACCTGTAACTCATACTGTGTCCTTCTCTCTCCCTCTCCTTAACCTTTCCCATCCCGCTTCAACTCCTGGCCATACAGAGAATGAACAGCCTTCCCTCGTTTGGTTTGACAGAGGAAAGTTTTATTTGACTTTTGAAGGTAAGTAGTACATAGCATACCAGATTCTAATTTATACCCCTCATCCTTTTTTCCCACCTGCATTTCCAAATCCCAGTTCTCTTCAAAAGACCTGGTCCCACTTTCTGTGTACAAATGCTATGGCTACTTGGAAACTATTAAACACTAAAGAAAATACAACATGAATTTGGTTTGTATGGGATCTTCCATTTTTCATACTAAAAAAAAAACACATTAAAAAAACCAAGCTGATTTGCAGTTAATATTGGTTACTTGTGTTAAATTAAAAAACAAAACAAAACAAAAAACAACACCTTTTTTGGACAAGGAACTTAACTCTGTCAACCAGGGCCCTTTCCTTACTCTTTTGCAAATGCAATACAACAAATGTAAGGATATTTTGGGTTGGAACTGGCTTTTAATTTTGTTTTGGACAATTAACGTTTCTGATGCAATATCCATTAATGTAAAACATAAGTACGTATACATGTTCTTATGACAAGGAATGCTGCATGGGAGATCAGAAAAATGAGGAAAAGAACAAAAAGGGGTGTCTTGGTAAATTCTGTTTGCATCTTCTGAAATTGCACCGGACATGGCTGCAGTAAGGTGGATAACTGTCGCTGGACCCGCCATTTTAGAAGTTTAAGGAGAATATATATAAATATAATGTCAGATATTTAACCTCCGTGTTGGATACTTTTATATTCTGAATTAAGGATGAGCAATCTTCTGTTTTATATTTAAATTCTGAATCACTTTAACAGGCCAAGCATTTGATAAAAAGTCCTACTTAAGCTAATTGTGGGGAAAGTTTAAGTAATTTAATTTGTGGGCCCTCTTACCCATAAATATTTATCACTTAAACCCCTACTTTCTACCATTTGATTGATTGATTGATTGATTGCAAAAGGTGATTTTATTAAAGCACAGGGACAGGACCTGTGGCCGGAAAGAGCTGTACTGGGGCTGTGATGAGTGAGTTAAGGGAGGTAAAGACAAAATGGAGGCTTCCCAAAGGACTTTCATATGCTAAAGAGGACTCAGAAGATACCAGAGGCCTAGCTATTGTCAAGCAAAGGTTGTTTTCAGGGATGATTCATGTTTCCCACATGATGTCAGAAGCCTTCATCTCCGCAGGTATTACTTTTGTAATAATGCAAAATCCACAACTTAGGACCTTCTAAACTTTCTCTTTGCGTTAGATGGAACTAAAACGTGCCCAGGTGTCTTTTTACTGATCAACACATCTCAAAAGGAAAAACTACAGTTGAATAGGTTGGTAATCCCAAAGTACAGCAAATACCTGCATATGTAAAAGGCCTATCTCTGGTTCAGTTTGGCCACAGCAGAAACTGTAGTTTACTCTGTTTTAACCAAGAAACTAAACAATACACTACTGCTTACCCTCAAGTATTTGGGGCTCAGTAAAAAACAATGTGGACTGTGTTTGTTGTTTCCATTTATTTTGGTTTTAAAGTATCTATTGGCTCATTTGTTTGTGTTTAAGTTTGGGTTTCTTTAAATAGAAAGAGAAAGAGACTTCTTTGGAGATACCCATCTAAAGACAATTTTAGGCTGTTGGTTTGTTTTTAAAATATGTATTATCAAATAAATATAAGTATTAATAACTGTGTAGACTAGCATAATGTGAACTACATCTTTTTTCCATTTCAGGAAAATATAATAATAATATGTAGTATAAGATAAAATATAATATTAGGTATCTAAAGTTGGTAACATTGCCATTCTAATTAGTAAGATCTGAATTTCTTAAGCATCTTAATTTGGACCAAGAGAGTCATGCAAGAAGTTTTTTTTTTTTCTTAAACGTTTATTCATTTTTCAGAGACAAAGGGAGAACAGCATGATTGGGGGGACAGAAAGAGTGGGAGATAATCCAAAGCAGTCTCCAGACTCTGTGTGTCAGCACAGAGCCTGATGCAGGGTTTGAATCCATGAACAGTGAGCTCATGACCTGAACCAAAGTCAGACACTTAACCAACTGAGCCACCCAGGTGCCCCACAAGGAGTTTAAATAGAAATAAATCAGAATCTCTAGTGCTGTGTTACCTTCATGCTGGACTTTGCTCAAGTCAAGGAAGTATAGAAAAGGCTTCCCCAGGGACTATAGGAGCAGCCTTATCACAAATATATGTCCCTACTTATCTCATTAAGAAATGTTCATGCAGACAAAGTACATTAAAATGAACTTCAGGACTTAGGAGAAACTAAACATGACACTTGACCACCTGAGCAAGAATGGCCATGTCTTAAGAATGGAGAAGGTTTGTTTTCACCATTCATGCACAGTAGTCTCAGGTATTTTTAGCTAGTGCAACGTGGAAGGATTTTTTTAATTTTCCGCTGTGATGATAAATAACACAGAAATGATGACATGTTAAATTGCATTGAGAATAGTGCCCCTACCCCAACGGACTGTCATTCAACATGTTTTATTGAGTAGCACTTCTAGCATATTCTTCTAGGGCACCCTGATTTTTACCCATATTTGTTTATTCATATTATCATTTTCTTCAATTCTTCATTCAGGGAATACAGAAGAAAAAAGAATCCCAGCTCAAAATATCCATCTGTTCTAAATAGCTTTCAAATTATTATTTATTGGCATGTAAATAGTGTTCAAAACCTTAGCTGGTCTCATTCATTAATTTGTTCTTATAGTGCTCTAGGCATTGTACTTACTCAGTAAGTGTTTGAGCCACTGACCAACCAACCAACTAATGAGCATTGGCTTATGAATTTATTTGGAGGTAAACATGCTATGCTTCATACTTCCAAATTTGATTTAACAAGAAATATAGAAAAGTGTTAAAACAATGGTTCTAACTCACAAGAGTTCCAAAGCTTTTCTTAGTGTTTCACTTTTACAAACAATTTCACTAAAATCTTAACCTATTAAAGTTGGGCTTTAAAAAAAAAAGTAAAGTGTACAAAAGGTAGTGACTTTTTAAATTAATTCATCCAAGAGTATATCCTATTGAAGTTTTCAAGTATTCTTCTGAGACGGAAGGAAGGGAAAGATATTTCCATGACAAGTAGAAGATGGGACTATTAGGTATTTGAACAATTCCCTAGAGCATTTTAACATCAAGATGTTTCCAGAAATGTGCTGTCCCTTTCCTTGATTAGCTTACTTAACTACAAAATCATCTTGTATCTGGTCATGAAAAAAAAAGAAACAAAAAAAAACCCTTGCAACCATTCTCAAGTGTCCTTGTGTCTGAATATCATCTCCATCCTCTGTGCATAGAGGCTCTTGCACACTCATCTCTAGAAAGTTCTGTGCTCCCATTATTGCTCTTACCCCTATCACGCCTTCGGGAATGTCACATCCTTAGCAACACCCTCCTCTACATTCGCAGGCTGTCTGCCAACTTCGCCCACCTGTTTCCTTAACTGAATCCAAGCTCTCTCCAGGGACCATCACTTCTGTAGCACTCTTCACAGAAAGTACTCCAGTCTTCTGTGGGCCATATGTCATGGGACTAGAGGCGGTGTTTCAATTGTCCCAATACCTTCTTGCCACTTCCAGAGCCACCTGATAATTCCACCTCCTACTGCCCCTTACTGCTGTCCACTAGCTGCAGAATATTCCTTAACTGCAGGCTTAGAGATGCTGGAGCTCCTTTTCACCCTCTTCTTCACCTTGCTCACTAACTTTATCCTGTGACAAAGATTGATGTGTGTGACCCATCCAAGACCCTGGCTTTAGGGTCTCTTTGACTTCTGCAGCTCCAACAGACTTTCTCTTCACACCACTCAGTAATCCACACCTCTGGCTACATCTTGTCAATGGTCCCCACTGGCAAGTATCACGTTGTATACCTCATAATTACCAACAGTTAGTCACCCTTTCTGTACACCAAGTGCTGCATTGAGGTAGTGATTTTTTTTTCATTTGACAAATATGTATCGAGTAGTGCTATGTGCTAGTACTGTGTAAGCACTCCCCAGTAGGAAGCAAAACAGAAAAATATCCCTGTCACCATGGAGCTTACATTCTGATGTGGAGAGTCCAAAATAAAAAGATAAATAAGGAAAATATGTACCACGGAGATGGTAGTAAGTTCTACAGAGAAAAATAAAATAGGGGAACCTGAAGTAATAAAAGTCATGAGTAATAATAAATAATATCTCAGTGCTCACCATGTGCAAAGTATGTCCCACTATTATGTGACTTCATCTGTACCCTTCACTGATGAAGAAATTAAGATTCAGAGAATATAAATAACTTTCACAGGATCACTCAGCCAGAAAGAGGCACAGTAGGAATTTAAACCCAGGTGGCCTAGCTGGAGACCTAGGATGATGCTCTGCACACATGACTTCATTCAGTCTTATAAACAACAGTCCCTTGAGGTCAGTGGTTCTGGTGGGTTTCCCCAAATCTCCTAACCTTCCAGCTCTCCAGTCTCCTGACTATACCTTATCTTTGACTTCACTGAGACTCCTGGTCTCGTGTCCACCCCGTTCATAGTGCACTAGCACTAGCCTACATTCAAGTTCTTTTCTAGACCCCATGGAGGAAAAATAAGTTTCTGGAATGGTTCCAATAATCCAACAGCAGCTACACCTCCCTCTTTGGAATTACGTTGTCTATGTGAAAAGAATGAACTTTTGGACATTTTAAACTTCTGACTTCCTTCGGTAGGGTCTTAGATATCCCTGCTTGATCATTGCTATGATGCAGTCATAGAGATGGACCACTCAACTTTCCTTACTCTGACATAGGTAAGGAAATATCCTGCAAGAAGCAAACAGGCCACATGTTTTACGTGTGCTCGGAAGGATATTAATTTATTCATCTGAGAGTCACTAGGGAAAGGAAAATCGGAAGGCGTGACCAGTTTTCTGGAAAGCAAATGTTTTGCTAAATTCACAATATTCTCCAAGTGGGAAGTGGCCACTAATTGTCCCTACCTCACTGTAGGCCCTTTTCAGTCAACAACGTGGTGAAGTTATTGAGCACCCAACTCTGCAAACCACAGAGTTAAGTA